CCGAATTCTCCTCCGTCTGAAACCCCCGGGGTGGGGGAGGGAAACGGATCCGATCCCCGGTCCCACCGGGTTCCCGCCAACCGGGAGAGACGTTTTAGAGACTTAATTCTCAATGATTTCCTCTTATTTTGAGCTTCGAGGTGAATTTTTTGCATTAATTGGGGTTTTTGGGGCTGTTTTTGAGTCTTTTATTTTTGCCTCAATCTCTGAGAAACCACCTGTAAAAAAATCTAAACCTGAGGAGAATTGGGTTTTTTTAGCCCCTTTTTGCTTTAAACCTGTGGATTTCCAGCTTTTGGTGCTTGTTTACCGGGTCCTAATTAAGAAACAGCTCATTAATTAGCGCTTAATTAGCACTCCCTGGAGGGATCATTGTATTTGATGGGATTTTGGTTAAAATAACCCCCAAAATGTCCAGTTTTTTGGTGTGTGTGGGGAAGAAAAACTGGAGTCCAACATTTCCTGAAGGTGATTTTTCTCCTCAGATAAAGGATTTCAAATCCAATTAAAAGCCCTGGCTGCTTAATTAAATATTAATTGCACCCACTGATGGAAATATTAATGATTATAAGGGAGGAAAGAGGGTTTTGTCTGGAAAAAGGGATTAATTTGGGGGTTGTGACCACTGGGGGTGGGTTGAGGTTGGAAGTAGAAGTGGAGTGGAGTGTGTACCAAGCAATTAGACAGGAATAATTAGTGATTTGTGATTAATAATGAATTAATAAGTGGCTAATTAAGGGGGAACCTGAGGGGTTTGGGTGGTTAATTCCCACCGTGCTTGTCGGGGTTGAGGTCGAAGTGATTGAAGGTGGATTTGGGGTCTTGGAAATGGGTGAAACAGCCCCCAAAAAAAGAGCAGGGAGGTGGGAAAGGACCCCCAGGATGAAATATTTCCCTTCCCAAATGTTTCCCACCCAATCCTGAGGTGGATCCGTGGGCTGGAAGCAGAGCCTGAAGTTCCCTGGTGCTGGGGACATGTCCCATCCGTTACCCACGGGCTGGGAACCTGGGATGTGCAGCCCTTGCTCTGCCTTCCCTCCCCCCTTCCCCTTCCCTCCCCCCTTCCCCTCTGTGGCTCATCCAGTCTTGGTCCTACATCTCCAAAATCAGGGAGAAAAAGCCCAAATCCAAGAGTTCCCACCACTCAGGGTTCCTCGTGGAGACGGAAATCGCGGCGACGCATGATTTTTTTTTACTCGTTCATGGTTTTTCTTCTCATCCTCCTTTGCTTTCCCCCTTTTCTGCCCCTCCAGGTCCCACTGGCACCACCTCCAGGTCCTCCTGCCCAAGATGTCCCTTTCCAAGAGGGAACTGGACGAGCTCAAACCATGGATCGAGAAGACAGTGAAGAGAGTCCTGGGGTTCTCGGAGCCCACGGTGGTGACAGCGGCGCTGAACTGCGTGGGGAAGGGCATGGATAAGAAGAAAGCAGCTGGTACAGCCCGGGATGCCCAGGACCCCAGAGAGCCTTGAGATGGCCTCATGTTGGGCTTGGAGTGGTGGCTGGGCTTGGAGTGAGTGGTGGCTGGGCTTGGAGTGAGTGGTGGCTGGGCTTGGAGTGAGTGGTGGTTGGGCTTGGAGTGAGTGGGTGTTGGGCTTGGAGTGAGTGGTTGTTGGGCTTGGAGTGAGTGGTGGTTGGGCTTGGAGTGAGTGGTGGCTGGGCTTGGAGTGAGTGGTGGTTGGGCTTGGAGTGAGTGGTTGTTGGGCTTGAGGTTGGGCCTTGGAGTGGTGGTTGGGCTTGGAGTGAGTGGTGGTTGGGCTTGAGGTTGGGCCTTGGAGTTGGGTTTCAACCATTCCAGGAGGATGGACACAGAGCTGGGCTGTGTGGGGAAGGGCAGGGATAAAAAGAAAGCAGCTGGTACATCTTGGGGTGCCCGGGGCCCCAGAGAGCCTTGAGATGGCCCCATGTTGGGGCCTTGGAGGTTGTTGTGGGGCCTTGGAGTGGTAGGGCCTTGGAGTTGTTGGGCTTGATGTTGGGATCAGTTGGGTTTCAACCATTCCAGGAGGATGGACACACAGCTGGGCTGTGTGGGGAAAGGCAGGGATAAAAAGAAAGCAGCTGGTAGATCCTGGAGTGCCCAGAGCCCCAAAGAGCCTTGAGATGGCCCCACGTTGGGTTTCAATTGGGTTTAACCAATTAATTGGGTTTCAACAATTAATTGGGTTTCAAGAACCAGTTCTTGGGTTGGATGAACCTTTGGTTGGAGCGTCTTGGTTGGGTGAAGCTTGAGTTGAGTTTGAGCTTGTGGTTTGGGTGCTGGGGGGGTCAGAGCCCTCCTGCAGGAGTGAGACCTGCTCAGGGTTGAAGTGGGCTTAGAAAATCACCTCAAAACCCCCAAACTGGGCCAAACTGGAGGGTGATTCTGCCCTGGCCTTGGGGAGGTGGGTCCAGGTGGGAAACGATGGGAACTCTGGGAACGTTCTGCGGAAAAAAACAGATGTTGCCTAAAAATGATGCTACAAAAAGGAGGTAAAATGAACTTTTAAGTCTCTTTTTATAATGAAACATGAGAATTTAACTCAAGAATTTGGGGTTTTGATCATTTGAGGCCTGGTTTGTGGTCTAGTCAAGGACTGGGTTCCCTTAATCCTTGGAGTTCAGCTCCTGGAAGCAGGATCCGTCGGGATCTCCAGACCCAGCTCTTGTTGGAGGGGTCAAATCCAGCTGTTCCCAGTTCTCCCAAGGGTTGAATTCCCACCTGATCCAACTTTTCCTCTTTCCCAGACCATCTCAAGCCCTTCCTGGATGATTCCACCCTCCGTTTTGTGGACAAGCTCTTTGAGGCAGTGGAGGAAGGACGAAGTTCTCGCCATTCCAAATCCAACAGTGACCGGAACCGGAAACGAGAGCTAAAGGTGATTATTGATTCCTTTGGTTGCTTCATGAATTGGCTTTTTCTGTGGTTGGTGGCCCCTGGAGGCAGCTTCTGATGTTCTGCCACACTTTCCTCTTCCAGAGAGGTACATTCTGAACGTTCAAGAGAAAAGACTTTTCATAGAATCATGGAATTATGGAATGGTTTGGGTTGGAGGGACCTTCAAAATCATCCAGATCCCAACCCCCCATGGGCAGGGACACCTCCCAGCAGCCCAGGCTGCTCCAAGCCCCATCCAACCTGCCCTTCAACCCCCCCAGGGATGGGGCAGCCACAGCTTCCCTGGCCAACCTGGCCCAGGCTCTCCCCACCCTCACACTCCACAATTCCCTCCTCAGCTCCAACCTCCAGCTCCCTCTCCCACTTTTCATCCCTCCCCCTCATCCCATCCCTCCCTGCCCTTGGCCCAAGTCCCTCCCCAGCTTTCCTGGAGCCCCTTCAGGCCCTGGAAGCTGCTCTAAGGTCTCCCTGGAGCCTTCTCCTCTCCAGGCTCAACACCCCAACTCTCCCAGCCTGGCTCCAGAGC